AGTTGAAAATGTCTACGAAACGTGTCACAAGTAAACTTTTTCCACTTTGTCACACACACACACACACACACACACACACACATATATATATATATTAATGCATGTTTCATTAAATAATATAGACAAGTTGTGTCTATTTATTTTTAGTAAGTTCCTTTCATATTGTCTGATAAGCTTAATAAAATTATCATTGAAAGACGAAAGGAAATCACCATATTGATACATGTTTAAATCCAATCTAAGCTTTCGGCTTACATAAGCCATTATCAAAGATGACAATTACTTTTCAATATATCAAACAATACACGGACGAAGCAATACTGTTAGTCTGTTTTTGTTGCATGAAACATTTCAAAGCAACGACGAATTCGTGTATACGAAACGCGGAAGTGGAAATCGCGTCGCAGCACCTGACATCACACATGACCAAACTTGTATATATTATTTAATGAAACATGCATTAATGAAAAATTGCTGCCTAAATATACACAATATATATATATATATATATATATATATATATATGTGTGTGTGTGTGTGTGTGTGTGTGTGTGTGTGAGAGAAAGAGACAGAGCGAGAGAAATAAATACAAAGGAAAAGTATTCTTTACCAACGCGTTTCGTCCTCTGATGGACTTTATCAAGACAAATGTTGTAAGGATTTTCAATATGCATTTGTAAACATAAGTGAAAACATCGTTAGGTTTTCATAATTTTTAAATTTAAAAATGCTCAAGAATTATTCTTCAGGCTGTGAAAATCATGGTAAACCATGATACATTCACTCTTTAACCTTTTTTCTCTTTTTCCTCTTGGCATTCAGTTGTTGGAATTTGATTTCCGGTTTTCTAGACATGCTGTTGTTATTAATTTTTGAGCTTAAAGCATATTTATATAATGTAAAGACACGGGAACTTTTAATTAGAGCATTTTAAAAGCATTTATTATTTTTTAAAGAATTTTAATTATCTTTGAACAAAACCCACAACAACTATTTGGAGTTCTGACGATAAGAAGATTAAAACCGAAAATATGACGTCAAAACACGTGACATAATAACAATTCAAATTCAAAATATAACATAAAATGAGCAAAATAACTCACCAGTGGTTGCAAATAACTATCTGTATTGAAAGGGACTTAATTCTCTGAAAATAACCAAAGAAGTTGAAATTATTAGATTAATGCAATATAAAACGACAGTCACTTCACACCGGTGTTTGTTTTGGGGACCGATTTCTGTTGTGTTCTAGACTAAAACCTTGCATCGTTCCGTGGAGAGTCAGACTTTGTTGAATGTTAATGTTTTGTCTACAAATGAATGCCTTAAAGATGGAGGATAAAAAGTTACAAATTCGCCATATGCCCCATAAATTTCGGAAACACGTAGGGGTCGGGAATGCGACAATTTTTTTCAGAAGGTTTATTTGGATGGTACTGCAGCTCTTTCGGGTGGTCAAAAAGTGGTCTGGCAGATTTCGGCAGGGTGATTTTTACCTCATTAATCAACCACGCTCCGAGGGATCTTCCGGCATCGATGAAAACGGCCTGCTTGCTATCGTGCGGAATATTCCAAAGGTTCCGACGGAAGAGATTGCTAACTCCCTTTTACCATTTCCACAGGGTTGATTCCAAGAAAAATGGCCGATTTTAGCAAATCGAAAAACAGTCATTTTCTACCACGACAACGGAAGACCGCACATCATAAAACAGACACTACAGAAGCTTAATGAGTTGAAATGGTGTAACATCCAGTACCCATCGTATGCTCCTGACTTGGCTCCTTCGGATTTTCGTTTATTTCAGTCTTCATAGAATAATTTAAATGACAAGAACTTTGACTCTTTACAGTCAGTTGAAAACTACCTCGAAAATTTCTCCCCACCCCCAGAAATGAAGTTTCTATGAAAATGGCATCAACAAGCTTGTATATCGATGTTTAAACAATCAATCTCAAAGGCAGGGTATCAAGAAACACCTGTCCACCACGTGTTCCAATAGTTTTGCTCACATGAAAAATTGGTGGGTTCAAATAAAAGGTGGTATGTCCTAAGTTGTTTAACACATCTAAATGTAAATACCAGGAAATAAAAGCTGAAAGTGTGAAAAACAATGGACACGATGTACTTGACTAATAAATGTTTTTCTATGAGCATGTAAAATTTCGTTTTGAATTTTCTGTTCGAGCATGAACATTTTTAATGCGCAAGTAATTTGAATAAATCCTGTCGGGAATCACATCCATAATCCCGAACCTTGATTAAAAGCAAAACAAGAAAAATTATGCGAAAAATAATCTGCTGACAACCCCCTAGACGCTGTAATAACAGTAATGGTAGGTTGGTGTAGATCAAACACTTATACATCACTGGCGGGCCATCTCTGATCTGAAACTGGACACAGAAGTATTCATAATTACTGCTCATAATCATTTTCTTCCAAGTAAGAATAACCAATTTAATGTTCTTAAAAACTTAAGAGTAGCTATCCTGCCGCATATGTGGTGAACATTCAGAGACAATTAACCCCAGAATATCCGTGCATGGCCGACTGGTGCTACCAGGGTATCGACACAATAGGGCTGCTAAGTACATACATTGGTCAATGTGTCGCGCATTCAACTTCCCTCGCAAAAAAAAAATAAAATAAAAAAAATGGTTACATCATAAGCCACAACAAGATGAGGCGGTTATCAGACTGATGGGGAAATCCATGAAAATCGACCAATCATAATTGAAAAATCATGTTGAAAATACATGTCTGTTCAGAGATGTTGCAGTCCCAGCCGACAGAGAAAGATATTTGAAAACGTTTGAGAAACTAGCAAATGCCATGACATGGATATAGAAATCTGTAAACTGTGACAGCTCCAGACATCAACATTGCCTTTTATTATTGGGTCTTTGAGAATTATATCAAAAAAGAGCAAAGCAAATATCTGGATCAAATTTCTAGCAGTCCTAAAGTATAAGAATTGCAACCCCTTCCCCCCAAAAAACAATCAAACAAAAAAACCCCGAAAAAACAAACAAATAAAAAAAAGAAAACAAAGTTGTGTACAATTCAGAAATCTTGCAGAGATTACTCACCATAGCACGACACCTGATCTGTTTGAACCTACTGACGCACAAACATATCTCAGGTTAAGACTTGGGATCAACTCATGTTATACAAAACAAGGGTAAATAATCTTTGGGCATTCTGCTTCCTAGTCAACTTTGACCTTCAAAAATTTAAATGCAATGTCAATCGTTATGCTATTGTTTTATTGTTTTCTCTCCTTAATAGTGTTTTTATCATATTCTCTAATACTCAGTAACCCCCTTGCGTGTTAGTGGCTTTATTACCTCAAAGGCGAAGTCTTTTGTTTTTATTGTTCACTGATGACATTCATCAAGCGAATATGAAACAAGAATTCATAATTTCAGCTTTTATTTCCTGATATTTACATTTAGATGTGTTAAACAGCTTAGGACATACCACCTTTTATTTGAACGCACCTATTTTTCAAGTGAGGAAAACTAATGGAATATGTGATAGGTGTTGCTTGATACCCTGGTGTTACCTTATAGATTGTTTAAACATTAAATAGTTCTGAATGTCTATTCTTGGTTTTAGCTTTGTAAAGACCGTATTTATTGTTAATAGATAGATAGATAGATAGATAGATAGATATAGAGAGTGCGACAGTCGGAGAGACCGGGACAAAGTGAGAGGAAGAGTAAGAAGTATAAAGAGACAGGGAAAAGAGATAGTGGAACACAGTGGAAGAGAGACAGATGACGAGGGAAAGGGAATAAAAGAGAGAGAGAGAGAGTAAGGAACAGAGATGGACAGAGATCGAGAGAGAGAGAAAGAGAGAGAGAAAGAAAGACAGAGATCGAGAGAGAGAGAGAGACCGAATTAAAGAGAGCGACAGTTAAGTGAGAAAGAGAGGAACAGAGTGAGAAAAAGAGTGAGGGATAAAGAGGGAACAAAATAGAGAAGGGACAAAGAGAGAGAGAGAGAGAGAGAGAGAGAGAGAGAGAGAGAGAGAGAACGAGAGAAATAGAACAAAAAGAGAGAGAAAAATGAAAGGGACAATGACGGACAGGCAAAGAGAGAGAGCGAGAGCAACAATCAAAAAGGGAGAGAGAGAACGAGGAGACCAAAGAAATAGAGAGACAATGATAGGGACGGACATAGAGAGAGAGAGAGAGAGAGAGAGAGAGAGAGAGAGAGAGAGAGAGAGAGAGAGAGAGGAGGAGACAGCGAAAGAAAGAAAATTATAGAGACATATATATATATCTATATATCTATATATATATATATATAGAGAGAGAGAGAGAGGGAGAGAGAGAGCGAGAGAGCACACTCGAGAGGGAGATAACTGACAATTTTTGAGTAAGGAGGATTTCGTTGGTACATGTCGTTGTGAAGTGGTCGGATGAGTTTTTTTGTTGTTAACAGTTGAAGGATAAAATCTGCCGAGTCTCTCCCTCCCCACTGCCCAAGGACACACAAAGAAGCAGACATATACATGAATTCACATTGCCGATATATATATATATATATATATATATATATATATATATCCTAAATTCACTTTTTGCACAGGGGGATGCGTTCCAGAAAGTACAGTGCAAAAGAAAACCGTGTAAAAAAATATAGTCTCCATATGAAAATTAGAGATAGGTTCCATCAAAATATATTTAATAAAAAATGGTAATTTTCATATTCGAATAAAATCAATTTTTTATTTGTACATACATACATATATACATAATCATTCAGTGTCATTACTAGACAGTAAACGTGCTCGCTTTCTGTTGTTTTTCAGTGTCACGAAAGCAATCTCGTCACTGGAAATATTTAATGGTGATATATCTTCATGTGTATCTTGAATAAAATTAACATGTTTGTTTTGTTTCACTGGTTTTGAATACGAATCAGACGCTGTGATTTTATTTTTGTTAGTTTTTCATATGATTCTTCATAATGTGCCATAATCATTTTCAAATCATGTTGGAGTTGCGCAGCTCGTTCCACATTGTTATCATTTGTAAGAAAATGATTTCCAAGTTTATTGGCTATTTGGAGGCCTATCTGAAAGTACAATTCTAGAGAATTGTACTTTCAGATAGTGGAACCACTTCTTCATCATCACTACTATAGACTAACGTGGAATCATATACATTCTCTGAAATACTATGTATGTACAGTGCATAGATCCCGCTCACACTGAAGAGTTGTGGATCACTATACGGAAAAAATAGATTCTATTTTACTTCGCTAAATTGTTATTTAATCATGTTACGTAGAGTTTCGGCATTTTGTAAATTATAATTGATTGATGTTACATAATCATTTACTTGCCACTTGCAATAAATTCAGTGGTCAAACAAGGAAAGATGTTTAAACCTTGTTAAAGTAAAAAAAAAAAATGGTGCAAAAAATAATAATCGGTTCTTTTTATAGCACTGTTTTATTTCAAAACCTTTCAAAATGAATACGTGCAAAAATGGATTTGAAAGGTGTTTTCTTAATTTATCATCTATCTATCTATCTATCTATCTATCTATCTATCTATCTATATATATATATATATATATATATATATATATATATATATATGTATATATATATATATATATACCGGGTGTAACAGCAAAATTGTCCAAATCGTGTAACAGCAAAATTGTCCAGTTGTCAGATTAAGATTTGAATCCTTTATCTTAGAAATGATTAAAGATATCATACTGGAATTCTCTAAGGTTTTTATAACACTATTGAACTCTACTTTGAGCAATAAGAATATATTTAGCTCTAAGTTAAAATGACGATCCCTCTTGTTGTTGTGATCTCCTGATCCAGTTTTCCCCTCTACTGTTCCCTCTATTTTAAACTTATCCACGATTGGTACCATTACCGAAGGTCTGAATGATCTTTTTCCTCTCACCTTTGCCCATTTTGGAAGACAGTGGGTCTGATGCAGAAGGACTTTAACCCGCTTTCTTTTTAACTGAATAACTCGAAGGACTTTTCAGTGATTCTTACGACAAATGGTGTCAAGATGTCTAAACGTTTTTTTCTGAATATCTGGAAAAAAAAATTAGTGTTTATTTTAGATTGTAAACATTTTGTGGGATGGATAATTATGACATGCTTTTATACGATTTGGGAAATTATGCTGTTATACCTGGTATATACATACACATACACACATATACAAATAAAAAAAATAAATATATATATATATATATATATATATATATATATATATATATATATATATATATATATATTAAAGCTGTATTTAAAATTGCAGTTAAATAAAACGAATTCTAACCTAAACACCTCTGTCAAAGTACTACAAGCACTTAAAAGAATGCAATAAAACACCTACAGTAAAATGAAATTAATATGAAAAGCTAGAAGATGTAAGCCATTGAATGACCCATGTCCTTTGAACTTACATGAGAAACTAAATATTACTGGATTTATATAAAATATATACAAAATAAAAGTTTACAAAACCAGAGAAATTAATTAGCTATTTTTGCCACCATTGTCAAAAATTTTACTTAAATAATATTTAAATATAAATTTTTTAAAAATTGTGACCTAGTAATATATATACTTATACTTGATGTGAAAATAATTTTACATACAGTAAGTGATTCTAATACATTTACTTGTTTTAAAAAGTAATATATTAAAAATTAAAAGTGATTTTTTTTTAAATCGCAGTTAAATAAAACGTATTCTCACCTAAACACCCCCCCCAAAATCTTTAAGTATACAGATAGAAAAAATGCCGTAAGCATTTTTGTCGTTAACAATAGGTTTAAAAAAAAAAATCCAGACGACATGCATTTAACGGATGTCAGAGTTCATTGAAAAATACATCCCTACCCCTACCAAAACGTAACTAATAACTGATACATCAAAATAAAGCCTTAATGAACATGCAAACACCCCTTGTCTGGATGAATGGATTTCTCTGTATCCTTGGAAACGTGAATTATGATTTTCTGCTGTGCCTGTAAAACCCAGTAATAAATAAGTTACTCCAAAATTCGCTTGAGGATGAAATGGAACTAATGTCTTTAATTTAATTACAAAATTAAATTCTAAGCTTTTAGCTTCCATTTTTGAAACATGGTTAGAACTTTATTTACATTATTCGGACTATTGTCCTCATCTTTGTTGCCATATTTATCACAACGTTTCGGCCGTTGTTCGCTCCGGCCTTCTTCAGATGGTTGGAATGTCGAACTGAACCCTTTATTTCGATCACTGGGGTAGACTGTTCTAGTTCCACGTGCCATGGTTAATGGATGTCAGTTATCAGTTATCTCCTGTTAATTTTCTCTCTGAAAGTTCTCCACTGCCTTAACCGGGTATTGATCTCACACTTTTTTTGGGTCCTGTCACTGGATCTAACCAACGTCTTAATCCACTGTGCCACGTATCCCTGAGGGCACGTGGCACAGTGGATAAAGGCGTTGGTTAGATCCTCAAGGACAGATGGCGTGTACAACGGCCGAAACTTCTCATCTCAGAAATATAGACAGAACATCTCATTATGAACTCCTCATCTTTACAAATAGAACACAATAAAATGATCTTTCCTTGTGATGGAGGTAATAGCCGTTACCTTATAAGAAAACATTAGAAAACATCGACAGAACTGTTATCGTTATTCCTAGTTGAAATTTATAAGAACTTTCTCTTAAAACAGGGTTTTTTACGGTTTATCAACCTTTTACAGCTTATTTAAAGTCGGAAAATATTTTTTTCGATTGTAAGATTTTTTTCAGATGATTATGTTTTTTACTCATACAGGTCTTACTAATAACTTAGAGGAGAATAGGTGGCTTCACACATTTCATATATTTGCCCGTATGTGAATTTAACGAACCCGACTGGAATTAGAACTCAGCTCTCCGATTTCAAATTTCGAAGCTGCTATCCACTGCACAACCCACTTAATGGCATTCCCAAGCGGTTACCCATCGAAGTAATAACCAGGCTTGACGTAGCTTAACTTTAGTGATTGTACGAGAACGTGATATAACAATGATATTCACCTTATACAAGCCCCAAGAGCCACTCGAGAGTTACATAGAGGCACCACCCGAAGCAAGGAGATAATGCCACCAAGACGCAAGATGAAAGAGAAGGATAAGCGTTCGGAGGATCCGGAGGTCTAAACAGGAAACAAAGGATAAACCACTACACATTTTCAAAAGACCGGGAAGGAGTGTGAACCGGGCGATAAGCGAACGTATCAACCTCTATTAAGAAAAGGAAAAGTAATTCAATGGTAAAGTTCAGAGTTTTTGGTGGATACGTTAGAAGACTTCAGAATTATTATTCCTCTTGCACGTACTGATGTCAGTTTCCTTTCAAACCTTTTGTTTAAGGTGCTAGGGAAAGCTAACATCTTTATTCCCTCCTCTAATTACATACGCTACTCACTTTTGTTGTTGTTGTAGAAAATGTTCAAACGAATTTTGGTAAAGTTCTTTGCCATTTTTTTTAGTGCCAGTCTCTAAGAGTCGACGAAGTTTTGCCTTTTTTAAGATCTAAAAAGTTTATTTTCTTGAATCAATTTTTAATCTAGATCCGAGTCGAGATCAGACATTTAAGAATATTACTTACGTTTTCAGGTTAATATTTTCGTTTTCTAGCAACTTACAGTATTGGACAACAGTATCATAAGTTCATTTGTCTTATCTCCTAAATACTAAAATTATGATCTATGCACTTGAAACATTTAGAATTTATCAATTCAATATACTGAATTTAAACAGGCGACTATATTGTGCTCTCCTTCTAAATGAAGCCTGACCTCTCCTTTATAGCAACACCATCCCAATATAATATTCAATCTTAGACAACGCCTTAATATACGCTTAAACCTGCCAAATAAAAAGAACTCTCATTCTTTATAACCACACCAAATTTACTGACTTCCTTTTTGTAACAAACACATTTTCTTATTTTTTGTTTAAATGCCTTTGTTTCTTAATAAACACCAGTATACTAATTTCTATTCTTCAGTAAACATATCCAATATAAAGAATTATATTTATTAGTAAACACATTCAGATATCCTGACCTGTCCGCCAAACAAATCCTGATATAGTGATCTCTTCATTGGAAACGGCTTACGGCCATATCTCGTTGAAAAATCGATTCCTGTAATACCACCAAAGTTAAGCAACGTCAATCCTGGTCAGCATCTAGATGGGTGACCGCTTCGAAATACCAAGTACTGTAAGATTTCGGGTGGTATAATAGATTATCGGAAAGGCGGTTTCCAACTCCAGTTGGGTTCGTTAGATATATACTTACGCGCAAATATCTTTGGGAAAGGATTGAATCCGCCTCTTCTGCCCCAGCTATGGGTTAATTAATAAGACATGCATCAATAAATCACTAGTATCTTTAAAAAGATCCTTACAATCTAAAAATCTTTTCTGGCTTTAAATAACCTGCAAAAGTTTGATAAGCCGTAAAAGCAATCAGACAAACAATATAAAGAACTTTCTTAGTAAACACATTCGGATAATCTGGCCAGTTCTAGAATAATAAACAAACCCTATTTTACGGATCTCTTCATTGTAAGCACACACCAACATACCTCATTTCGATTCCTAAGTAAAGACGCGCGAAAATATAACCTCGCTTTTTTTTGTAAACAAACCCCACTGTACTTACCCTTTCTTCATAGTAAACACGTCACAATATCTTTCCTCTTTAGCAAACACACCAAATACACTGAGCTCTTCTTAGTACACATGTCCCTATATACCTCATTTGTATTCCCCAATAAACACACCCCAATATAAAGACCTCTCTTTCTTAGTAAAAAATACTGTTATGAATAAACAAGAGTTATCTCCATTTGTTTCGTTACTCTCCTCTTTGAGAGAGCTATTTCTGTTTACTGGGACTATAAAAGGACATTATACGCGAACCTTGTATTCTTAGTTGAATAAAGCTTTCTTAAAGCCTACACCTACGTACTTTTGTCATTACACATACATCAACATACTGTTTGGGCGTCTTGGCGTGGTGTAATGGTTAGCAAGCTGGTCTTGCTAAAACTGTTTACAACTGAATAGTGAGTTCGATCCTCACTGGCTGCCCTATAATTTCGGTCATGTGCCACATCTAAGCCTCGCCTAGAAAATCAACATATTTTCCTTAGCAAACACTTTTTAATATTTTGAACTTGCCTCCTTAGTAATATAACAATACACTTCGTTTCAGTTCCTCACTAAACACACTCCAATATAAAAACTTCACTTGCTTGGTAAATCTCTAAAATATACCAACATATGTTTCTTTGCAAATAAAGTCTATTCTACAGATATTTTGAAAAATATAATGAAATGTAGGCAAATCCTGTTTAACAATGAGCAGCGTTAGTTATGAAGAAATTCAATTTCAGCTGCAAATGATTTTCACCTCCTGGTTTTTGACTTTTCTTATTAACCATCGATTTTAAATATTTGCAGAAAACTGTGACTCTTTAAGAAAATTTCAATGCATATGTTTTGAAGAAAAATATAAACATTTTTCATTAGTTTTATTCTGTATACTTTACGTGTGCGTGGACACACATGCAAAGTGAAAAGAAAAACAACTTGCAAGTTAAAAATTTTCTGTATTTTCCGCTTCCATATTTAATAATTTTATAAAATTTACGATTATTATCAGAGTAAATAACGGCTTAAGATGAAAAAAAAAAAATCTCTAAGTTTCTCTGTTGTAGTAATTTCCTTCGTCTACTTTTAAAATCTTGAGCACTATTTTGGCATTGAGTCGATGAAGTCATAAATATCATTCATTATATATTTTCTTTCTTTCTTTCTTTCTTTCTTTCTTTCTTTCTTGCATTATTAATTTCTTTCTTTCTTTCCTTCTTTCTTTCTTTCTTTCTTTCTTTGCTCTTTCTTCTTTCTTTCTTTTTTCTTTTTTGCATTTTGTCTCTTTCTTTCTTCTTTGCTCTTTCTTGCATTGTTAGTCTCTTTCTTTCTTTCTTTCTTTCTTTGTTCTTTCTTTTTTTGCTTTCTTTCTTTCTTTCTTTCTTTCTTTCTTTTCTTTGCTCTTTTTGCATTGTTAGACTCTTTTCTTTATCTTTGCTCTTTCTTTCTTTCTTTCTTTCTTTCTTTCTTTCTTTCTTTCTTTCTTTCTTTCTTTGCTCTTTCTTGCATTGTTAGACTCTTTCTTTCATCTTTGCTCTTTCTTTCTTTCTTTCTTTCTTTCTTTCTTTCTTTCTTTCTTTCTTTCTTTCTTTCTTTCTTTCTTTGCACTTTCTTGCATTGTTAGATTCTTTCTTTAATTCTTTCTTTTTTGATTTTTCAAATTATCTGTTTCCTTCAATCATTTTTAAAGCGGTTTTCATTCTTTTTTAAAAAGTGTTTTTCTCATTCTTTCTTTCTTTTTAAAGTTTCTTTTTCTTCCATTCTCTTTAGAGTGTCTTTCTCTCTTTTTAAAAAAGTTTCTTTATTTCGTTATTGCTTTCTTTTGAAAGATTCTTTCTTTCTCTCATTCCTTTTTAAAGTTTCCTTCTTTGTTTCTTTCTTTTTAGTTTCATTTTTTCGTCTTTCTTTTACTCTTCTTGTTATTCTTTCTCCTTTTTTTGTTGCTCTATTTCTTTTTAAAGTTTCCGTCTTTCTTTCTTACTATTTCCTTGTTCCTTTTCTTTTTTTTTCTTTTCACGGACACTTTTACGCTTTTCTTTAAATTTATCATTCAACAATTTATATTACATACTCTGCTATATTTCGAACTTTCTCTCCTTTTTCTTTCCCTCTGCGGGACTTTCAAATTAACTCCTTGTTTCATTCATGCACAGATTTGTTTTTTTCTAAATTCCACCTACTCAACCCATAAGCCGAAAACGGGTCGGTTAAAAACTAGAAGAGGAACAAGAAGAAACTGAAAAGAAAAAGAGAAGCTAAAAGCCCGAAATCATGAAAAGAGAGAGAGAGAGAGAGAGAGAGAGAGAGAGAGAGAGAGAGAGAGAGAGAGAGAGAGAGAGAGAGAAAAAAGAAAAATAAATCTAGATTGCCACGTGACACTTTTCGATTTTAATACGCAAGCTAAAAGGAAGAATGGAGAAATTTAAAGAAACAAGAAAGAACACCTAGAATACGAAACGGAAGAGAAACGAAAAGTGAAAAGGTTTCATTTTTTTTTCTTCTTTTGCTCTGCCAAGTGTCAGACAGTCAATTGGGTCTTCATAAATCTTCCCGAAGATTCATCTTCCCGTTCTTTCGTTTTCTTCCCGCTCCACGTCGTTCACCGCGACAAAACCTTTGTCGCCATTTTGAAAAAAAAAAAGCTCTAAATCAAAGACGAGATTTTCCAATTTTCGCTTCTCTCTACTTTGCTTTCTGTATCATCTCTTGTGCGTACTCACCGAGCAAAAGGCCGGATAAATTCAGTGCAGTCAGGCACAAGGCTAAAAGAAAGGAAATTAGTTTGGTGCAATACAATCTTCCTTCATCTTGTGTCTTTTTTATTATTTCACCTCAATTAAAGCAATGAATCCATAAAACGTAAGCGCTGACTGAGAATGAACGGCAATAAAAAATTACTGAGGGGAAAAGACAATAAAGAGAAAATCTTTCAAGGAGACAGTGGACGATTGAAGTTGCATTTAAAATGCCCACCTTTAAAGAACAGTCAAAATCTCGATATGTTGCTTGTGGTATACTTGTTGACCTCAGTCGGGAATCAAATCTCTTTTTCTCTCTCTCTTTCTCACACGCACACACACGCACGCGGATATACATAATAAATACTTTCCGCCTAACAAAAACACGTAAAGTACGAAAATTTGTCGTGATTAATTGATTTGTTTGTTTAGCGGCACATTAACTCCTCATGGGTCATTTAATGACGAAATTTAATTTTTCTTGGGAGCTTTGAAGTAATAAAAATACGATATGTTAATCTGTTTTCACAATTGAATACATGGAAGATGATACTTTTGTTTGTGCGAACATGATTAGTAGAGGCGGTCATACGTGTGTAATGTTGGTTAATATTTTGGAATACAGTTTGATATCTTCATGAAATTATAGAATATTATATGGATTAATGTCAAGAAAGAGTTTTTTTATGTTGGTTAGTTTTATTTAACGGCATATCAATACCTGTTGATATTGTTTAGCGGCATATTAACACCTCTATGGGTTATTTAATACCGAAATATCAATATTTGGATTTTGGTTGGTTGATATTGTTTAGCGGCATATTAACACCTCTATGGGTTATTTAATACCGAAATATCAATATTTGGATTTTGGTTGGTTGATATTGTTTAGCGGCATATCAACACCTCTATGGGGTATTTAATACCGAAATCTAAATATTTGTATTTTGGTTGGTTGATATTGTTTAGCGGCATATCAACACCTCTATGGATTATTTAATGCCGAAATCTAAATATTTGGATTTTGGTTGGTTGATATTGTTTAGCGGCATATCAACACCTCTATGGGTTATTTAATGCCAAAATCACAATATTTGTATTTTGGTTTGTTGATATTGTTTAGTGGCAAATCAATACCTCTATGGGTTATTTAATGTCGAAATCTAAATATCTGGATCTTTGTTGGTTGATTTTGTTTAGCGGCATATCAACACTTCTATGGGTTATTTAATACCGAAATCTCAATAATCTGAACACAATTTATGGCTTCAACTAAATATATTTGAACAGTAAAATGTATAGTTGGTTCCATTTTATATAAAAATTTATTGCTGGTATTTTTACTATGAAAAATTATTTTTATACTTTCATAGTGTTTTCTTGGAGGTTCACTATTTGCCCATAGCTGGGACCCTAACAGGTGCTACCACCCCGCGTCAGGGTGACCCTGGGAACAACAACAATTAAGAAGTTATTCCACGCCCCTTAAAACCTCCAATTTTCAAATCAGCTGCCTTGTTGTAGTTTATCGTCGTACCCAGGAGAAATGTTTACGACTGTAGTGATTTTGTTTCTCACTAGGTGCAACAAAACCAAATATCTTTCAAAAAGACATCTCATCCGTAGTGAGATTTCTCTTCTTGGAGACCATCACGGTAATGGTAATATTAGCCGTTGCCTTATAAGGAAACATTCAGTATTCATTGTGCAGTGCTACTCGTTACACTTTTCTTCATTTCCAGAAAACAGATCTAGAATCAACGTGTAGTATCTGTTCTCCTCATATCTAATGGTAATGGTAGCATTAACTGTTTCCTTATGAGTAAATATACAGTGTTCAATGACCAAGACGCCAGTGCAACACAACTTACACTTTCATTTCGTGGCCATCATCAGACTGGGATCAAAGCGAAGTATCTGTTTACCTAATTTCTAATGGCAATGATAATATTAACCGTTTCCTTATAAGGAAACATTCGGCATTTAATGACCAAGGAGCCAGTGCTATTTAGTTACACTTTTCTTTAGTCATTGGCCATGTGACTGGGATCAAAGCGTAGTATCTGTTCCTCTAATTTCTAATGGTAGTGATAATAATAGCCGTTTCCTTATAAGGAAACATTCGGCATTTAATGACCGAGCAGCCAGTGCTATTTACTTACACTTTTCTTTGGTCGTTGGCCATGTGACTGGCTCGGGTCCCCACCTAAAACTAGACCTTGTGTCACATCTCATCCTAGGGGAGGGGACAGAGTAAATACTTACTCTTTTCTTTGGTCGTTGGTCATGTGACTGGGATCAAAGCGTAGTACCTGTTTTCTTAATTTCTAATGGTGATGATAATAATAGCCGTTTCCTTATAAGGAAACATTCGGCATTTATTGACCGAGCAGCCAGTGCTGCTGTCGGTCGTCATGACGATTTTGCTTTGCTCACTTCGCCCTAACACCTTTAGAAAGGGTAGGAATCCATCTAAATAGTAGAATAGACTGATCTCTTTTGCCTTGTGTAGCAGTAAGTGCTAGGAATATTTTCAGTTCAAATCCATGTAAATAGAACATCCTTGGCTCTTTAGCATTGGTAAAGCAACAAGTCTAGGAGAAGGATGACTCTAAATTCAAAACCTGTTTGAAGAGGAATGGGCTCCGTCAGGTAATCGTTTCCTAGACACATCTGGTGCCGTTACAGCTGAAGTAGATGTGGTCAGGCAGTGAGGCTAATGGGCAAGTAGACGCGGGATATTCATGTTCGTGTTGATATGCTTAAATAAATATATATAATTCTTGTAATCGTTTAAGCAATTTTTTTTTGTTTCACTGTTGATACGGAGATAGTAGCTTTAATTTCTTAAAAATAAAATGAAATAAAAGAAAATACTATTGTCTAAACCGAGGGCGCTTTTCTACTCTTAAAATTATCTGCAGTGGACATAAATAAAACACTGCCCGTGCAATTCGGCCCTTCAACTCCCACCTCATGCTAACACACACATGCCTGTCTGAAAGAACAATGAAGTGTTTAATTCGGTATTTGACGTCCTATGAACTATACAGATTGTAACTCATATGACCGTTGGCGTTACACTGGTCATATATCACCAAGGAAGAATTTTGGAGATTAAACTAGAAATTTCCCCCGTTCGGAACTTTTAATTTTGTCCTTTTCTGTAAGAAAAAATAGAAGATGAAAAAAAAAAAAGAAGAAAAAAGTATATTTCTTGACAAATTCTAATTTTCCAGCCTCTTTGTCAGACTCTCTTGCACCACCCTACCAATCGCTCTTTAACCAACGTCCTGTCAAAACGATTGCGTTTTATGCCGGGTCAGAATCCGAAGAGTTAGTTTTTTTTTTTACAGCGGGCGGCCATTTTGAAAAGCGTCTTCAGGTCAGACGATCGATTGAAAAAGCCGTTGTCAGTGAAAACGGAAAAGTCGCTAAAAAACCGACATAATTTACAATTGGTTACTGAAAGACCTACGAACTTCTTGGTCGTGAGAAGAACTTGAAAGAAGCAAAGAAAAAAAAAAGAAGAAAAAAACGTTTATTAAGACACAAGACTGTTGGTTTTTACGACATTCAACATTAAATGAAAACCGGGTTTTAACCAAACGAATGTACAGAAATTTCTCAATAAATGTAACTTTGTTGCAAGCCGAAATCGAGGTCACGTTGGTGTTTTTATAACATTAGATTTTTCCTGTTTATTTATTGATAATTTTCTATTATTTACAATTTAACGGGCTGTTATAATAATAATAATAATAATAATCTCTGTCCAGACAGACCCTTTCATTCAAGCATGAAGACCCGACTTTATTGTGGGTTTGGGTTTATTTTGTTTTACAGCACATCAACACCTCTATGGGTTATTTAATGCCGACAAGATTTTTAGGATAGTTTTCGTATGAACAGAATATGTGTTCTTTATAAAAAATCAGTTTGTAGATCAGGGTTTCATTGATATATTTTTGTAAAGAGGGTTTTTGTAGAGAATCTAGTTTGGTTTGGTTAATTTTGTTTTACGGCATATTAACACATCAATGCCGACAAGATTTTTAGGATAGTTTCGTATGAACGGAATATGTATTCTTTGTAAAAATCAGTTTGTAGATCAGGTTTCATTGACATATTTTTGTAAAGAGGGTTTTTGTCAAGCGTCAAATGTATTGCCGGTAATATTTTTTCGAAAATATATTGCTGGTAATAATTTCTTATTCAAACATGTATTGGTGGTACTTCTTCTATAAAAAAAAAATTACGCTTTCACAATATTATGACCCCAGTTTGAGTGTTACATATTTGCCCATAGCTGGGATCCTAACAGGTGCTACCACAATTAAGAGTTGGTGCCATGGTCCTGAAAACCTCCTTGCTGCGGGGTGTAGTTTATCGTCATTCCCAGGACGACTTTATAGATAAGGAGAGCAATTGCCAAGTTACAGATTTTGCTTTCTCGTAAGATACGAGAGCGGACTCTAAAGAAATTGAATAGATTGGAAGAAAGTATTAGGTTGGTGCAAAAATAATGACGTAATAATGTCATTTTTTGACGTATTTTTTAACGTCAAAATTTTTACGTCATTATTTTTGCACCAACCTAATAAAAGTAATTGTTGCAGTAAAGCGAAAACAAAAGGACTAAGCAAGAACCGCAAGAAGACAGAAATAATGGCCATCAACAAAAGATATAAATTAGAAATGTCAACATCAAACAACTGCAAAAGTTTAGATGTTTGGAAAGTCTTTTAACGGAGTATTGAAAAAGCGAAACACGAGTTAGACTTGCAAAAGAGGCAATGCAAAATTTAAGCAAAGTGCTGGATGAACCCAGACAAATTTCGTTTGAAACAAAGACAAGAGTGCTGGATTGTTAGATGATATCTATCCTATTATATATCAATGAATGCTGAAGAATCTACTCACTGATGAGGAGAAAACTGAAAACAACAGAAATATGGTTCTACAGAAGGATATTGAGAAATCCTCGCAATGATTAAAAACTTAAAGGAAATGTCGACAAAAGACCGCTTATACTAAGAATCCCGAAGAAATAGCTGAACTTAATTAGATACATAATGAGAAAGTACGGCTTAGAAAACTTAATCCTCACAGGGCCTAGTGAGAAGAAGAGAAACAGAGGAAATCACTATCTACCTGTTATGGCCCAATATCCTCGCACCACAGTTAGGGTCCAAGGTTAGAACCAAGGAAGAACAACACGAACACAAGAGTAGAAATAACAAAGATATATTACAACAGAAATATAGTACAAGAAGTTGAAGTTGTTAGTAATGACTGTCCGTCTGGTTTAGAGTGAACTAATATTGTCTCGACTTGTTACACCATTCATTCGTTATCTAGCCACACCCACGAGGGTTGCATGTGGCAAAAGGCCGAGTTTAACGTAGGTTTCCCGAGCCCGTAGGCTCGGCCAAAAATATACCCTTTGAACCCGCCTAGACGGGTTCAGGGCCTGTCTACCTCCCCAGACGAAACCTTGCCCTTCGGCAAAGCTTCGTCCGGGTTCCTCTCTGTCAAAGCAGAAAGTTCAACAGTCATGACCTGGTGCTTGTTACACCATTCATTCATTATACCTCTTGAGAGGCGCAGTATTTATAGTGTCAGGAAGAGTCCATTATCGTTATAGGTAAGTTCCCATAACACTAACTGACGAGCGTGTGTGGATGGATACAGCAGGATGGTGGGGGCGGAATCGTTAGCAAAAGTAATAAAAATGCAAAGGAACACAAGGAATCGGGAGTTTTTGAGAGTTACGTCCATGTCCTGAAGGGACGTGTAACATAGAAGAAGAAGAATGGGTGCGATTGGGACATCATCAGAACTGAGGCCAAGATTGTAGGACGCCATATTATTTCAATTTTTTACTTTGCGATGTTTCTCCGAAATGTTGTAAAGAGTCTTGACACCATGCCTGAAAAACAGAACTTTCATTCACTACATCAATGTGTGGCACCAACATAATAATAATAATAATAATAATAATAATATTAACATCGTGATCAAAGGCCATAAAAACAGAATGTGCTTTCTTAATGACATGGCAATCCTTGCAGATTGTAATGTACTTTTGAAGATCTTCAAAAAACTATCAATATACAAGGATCTTGAAGTGGAAATCTCAAACATGTGGTACGTAAGGATATCAATAATTCCAATTATAGTTGCAGCCTCCGTGTTGACTTGAAAAGATTCAGATAGACCTATTGAAGGGATTCCTGGCAGTCCATGCCTTAAAGAAATACAAAATATTGTACTCACAAGTACAGCTTACACATTACAAAGAGCTTTATCTATGTAAAATGGATGTGATCTTAGTTTTTTTTTTTTTACAAAAAATGAACAGGGGAAAATATCATGAAGCCATTTCTGACCTTAGGTCTCTGGTTGGGACCTGGAAAGAAATGTATATACAAGAGAAATCCAAGGAAATAATGATGATAATAACAGGCAAAACATTGGAGCACAACAAACGTATTAATGGAAAATCAAATAATAAAGGAAGGGTTGACTGAGGTGTGTTGTGGTGTAATAGATAATGACTCAAAATTGGAAGTCGGAGAGCTGAGTTCGAATCCCTGTCAGATTCGTTTCATTCACTTTGTAGCACCGAATAGAAACAAGGAAAACGAAAATTGACAGTTCTTGCTACATGAACCTTTTTTAGAAAGAAGGTATCACAGGAACGACCAGAATAATCCGGAAAATGAGGAATACATATAAGAATAATAATGGTAACTGATTCACTGGAGGTTGTTATTTATCTCTCTATCTGAACCTGTTTAGGGTGATCAGTCTATCTATCTATCTATCTATCTATCTATCTATCTATCTATCTATCTATCTGAACCTGTTTAGGTGGATCAGACTGTCAGATTATCTATCTATCTATCTATCTATCTATCTATCTATCTATCTATCTATCTATCTATCTGAACCTGTTTAGGTTGATCAGTCTGTCAGACTATCTATCTATCTATCTATCTATCTATCTATCTATCTATCTATCTATCTATCTGAACCTGTTTAGGTTTGATCTATCTCATATCTATCTATCTATCTATCTATCTATCTATCTATCTATCTATCTATCTGAACTTGTTTAGGTTGATCAGTCTGTCAGACTATCTATCTATCTATCTATCTATCTAAATCTATTAAATCTGTTTATCTATCTCTTGATTACATCTATTATCTATCTATCTATCTATCTATCTGAACTTGTTTAGGTTGATCAATCTATCATCTATCTATCTATCTATCTATCTATCTAAATCTGTTTAAGTTTATCTATCTCAACTTGATTACATCTATCTATCTATCTATCTATCTATCTATCTATCTATCTATCTATCTGAACTTGTTTAGGTTGATCAGTCTGTCAGACTATCTATCTATCTATCTATCTATCTATCTATCTATCTATCTATCTATCTCGTTATGCTCATTTCTATCTTTCCCTTCCTGTCTATTTCTATCTATTAACGTACATATCCATTTTAAATTGACATTACAGACGGAAATAGATATGATCACACTAAGATAGACAATCAACCATACATACATACATACATACATACATACAGATAGACAGACAGACAGCTAACATACTACTAGTCTGATAGAGAGACATATAAATAAATAGATGATTCCGGCCTTCAGTCAACGAAGCACAGATGAACTGTCGTCTACTTCATACCGAGCGATTACTACCCTGCCCCAATTCTTCCTTCACACACAAAAAAATTCTTTTAGGTTACTTTCCATCGAAGAAGACATGCAGTCAGGCAGACGATCCTGCAACCAATTAACAACAGACGAGATGAACATCGCGGTCTCAGTTCTCGCTGTGTTACGTCTAGCCACGAGATTACAGTCACTGAAGAAATTTCATGAAAACTATAAATTGTGCCGGAAATGACGGGTATTTCGAGAGGGTGGAGAAAGGATCTTCAGTTAATTTGCATTTATTACGCCCTCTCTTTTGAAACGAGTTCGGCACTCATTTTTTTTTTCTTTGATTCGATAACATTTCTTGTACGATTGGACACTTTCTGATTTTGTTCTTTCTTTAATACGTTCGCTTTGTTTTGTAATTTTCTCTAACAGAAAGAAGATACGCGCGCAGAAACGAAATTATGACATTAACTAATATGATATGAAACTAATATTTCCTAGTAGTCAATATATTGATTGAGTTCATCTAAATTAAAAGAACACACGAAAATCTTTCTTTATGCATATTGTACCTAGTTTACATTCATATCTATCTATCTATCTATCTATCTATCTATCTATCTATCTATCTATCTATCTATCTATCTCGATCTGTTCATATCTATCTATCTATCTATCTATCTATCTATCTATCTATCTATCTGAACCTGTTTAGGGTGATCAGTCTGTCTGTCTATCTATCTATCTATCTATCTATCTATTTATCTATCTATCTATCTATCTATTAAACCTGACCTGTAAACTTTAATATAAACCCGATCAATATTTACCCATAGACTCAAGTATATTACTGGAGTAATATTTATCTATAGTCTTTAAACCAACGTATAAAGGTTCGAACATCCGATTAATATATATTAATAAATTCTAGTACAAACCAGTCCAATATTTTTTACAAAAGATAACTAAAAAATATTGACAAAAAGTCGTGCATAAAGGGTTTGAAAATTGAATAAAAAGAAAAAAAAACGGAAAATAAGTGGAATGTTGCGTGAAAATCATTAAATTATCCAAAGGGCAAATTTCGACATTAAATTATCCAACCAGGGAATCTTCTACTATTGCCGTTTCTCTTTTTTCTTTTGCTATTAAACACTACTCCCGCCCCCATTCAATCTAGGTAGGTTATATGTTGTTTTTCTCTGTCCCTCTTGCTTCCAATCTGTTTTGTTATCACATTTTTCCTCTTTCCTCACTATGTTCCATAGGAATTTCAACTGTCACTTCCTGTAATGTCCTTTTTGTTTCCTAAAATTCATTCATTCCCAGCATCCTTCTGAATTTTCCTTGTTTTCTTTTCTTTATCTATTGTTACTTGATATAAACATTTTCGAAGTTATAGGATACACCGAAATTTGTGGAAACTAATTGCGTATTTGAAAAAGGAAGAGACATTAGCAAAAAAGAGAAAGTGTGATTTATATCGAGGAGATTCAATACAAATAAAGAATATATATGTTGATATCAGTTAAAGACTTCAGCGGAAAATGCTTCATTACATCCAACGCAAAAAAAAAAATAACATTATTTACGAAGCATTTCTTGGAATTCGCACACGTTTTAAATTATTTCTTTGTTAATTTGATATATTTCCAGTCTTTTATTTTATAAATAAATGTTTACTTTTTAATTTCTTTTCTGATGTTTGACACTGTAAAAAAGACATCCACATATACTTGATAACAAGATACTTCGCTTATTAAATTGATCTTTGGTCCAAAAGGGTATCGAAGAAAAATGGAGCGAAATTATTTTACGCAAAAAAAAGCGCGGCGAATTTTCATTTTCTGGTTTTCGAAAATTTCTGAGTGACGGCGAAAATTTCTGAGGGGATTAAAAAAACATTTTTACGGCGAATGTTCCGGATATGATATTTCTAAAATTCTCTCTTTTTTTATTCATTGATTTAAATTGTTTTTCATTCTTATCTTTCTCAGTCATTTATTCATCCAATTTTTTTTCGGTCTTTAAATTCTTTTCAATTATTTTATTTTTTTCTTTCGTTTTATTCGCTTTCATTCGCTTTATTTCTTTGTTTAATTTCGTTAACTTTTCTTTTTATTTGTCCATTTATTTTTTAATTTCTCCTCTTTTCTTTCTTTTACCTTTTCATTATTTAAACTGTTTTTTATTCTTTCTTTTTCTTTTTTCTCATTCCTTTTTTTCCCTTCCCATTTGTTTTTCATTCCTTTTCAACTTTCTTTTTCTTTTTCTTTCCTATTCCCTGATTTAATTTTTTCATTCTTTAAGTTTCCTTTTATTTCCTATTCATTGGTATAATTTTTTTTTCATTCATTCTTTTTTTCTCTTCTTACTTCTTCATTGATTTAAATTATTTTTTGTTCCTTGCTTTTTCTTTTCTTTTTATTCAATGATTTAATTTAGTTTTCTTTTTCCTTTGTTTCTCATTCATTGATTTAAATTCTTTCTCGTTTTTCTTTTTCTTTTGTTTCTCATTCATTGATTTAAATTCTTTTTCATTCTTTCTTTTTCTTCTCTTTTACTCCATTCATTTATGTAAATTATTCTTCATTATTTATTTCATACTTAAATGTTTTTTAAAATTCTTTCATTGAGTGTTTCTTTTTTTCATTAATAATTGATTTATACCATTTTTATTGATTCTTTTCGTTCATTTAAATTAATTAATTTTTAATTCACTTTTTCCTTTTTCATTATTTTATTTAACTTATTCAATTCTCGATTAGAATTTCCTTCACAGTAACTATTTTCTACACTTCCCACAATCTCTTCTTACTTTCATATGATACACCTCATTCATTCAGTAACCCTCATTTTGAGTGCCGACATATATAACGTCCAAACGCCGGTTCTCGTACAATGACCGAAGTTAAGCAACGTTGATCCCGGTCAGTATCTAGATCGGAGACCGCTTGTGAATACCCGTCTTACCGCGATATCACAGTGAAACACTGGTCTTCGTACGATCAGCGAAGTTAAGCATTTTTGATTATAGTCAAATACCATTGGGAAACGTATAAATCCTACTCCCCCTCCCAATATGGATTAAATAGTATGTCTTGTGTCTGAAAAATATTATTATCTGCAAAAATGTTTATTCCAATATTCACACGCAAAAAATGAATTATTCTAACAATTTCAACATTTGTTTTGGCTTTAAATAACTTTATGCAAAGTGTTGATAAGCCGTAAAAAATCATTCAACCAATATACCGTGAGTGGCTACTGAGTCGAGTAATGGGGAAACTTCAGCTTTTATCTATAAAACTTCAGTTGCTTTTTCAGACGGTTATTGTACGAACGTCATTAAAAAACGCGGAGAGAAAATAATAAATAAGGTTTCAACGAGGTTCGAACTCGTATCCCTTTTCTTCGTTAAGGAAAAGAAAAAAAAAAAAAAACGGAACTGATATTCTTTTCTTTCTTTCGTTCCTTTCTTTCTTTCTTTCTTTCTTTCTTTCTTTCTTTCTTTCTTTGTATGTCCATTCATTCACTGAATGTTTTCTTCCCCCCTCTCTCGCTTTCACTTTTACTTCTGACTTGTACCTCATCCTTCTCCTCCTCCTCCTCCTCTTCCTCCCATTTTCTTTTCGCATTTTCTACCTTGAATCAGTGACGGAAAATTTGGGAATTCGTTTTTCTTTATGTTCTATTCTTGACTCAAAGAAGCCTTTACCAAATCTACAACATACTGCTCCCGCCCCAGCTTTGTTAAACGTCTCAACGCTCTGCTCACGCATAAAATTACTTCCGCGCGCGAAACGACCGACTTCCGCTTGCCAACATTGCACATGTCCTTAATATTCCATTTTCGTTCCATACATTTCAGGCGCCGGAAGTCGATCACTGTCTTCTCGATCGTTGCTATCCAACCCCACCCATCACCCGACTCGCCGACAGGATTGCTCCTACCCTTAGCATTTCTTCCCGTCACCGCCTCCACAATTTGGACTTATTTTCTTTTCTCATCTTTTCCCCTCTAAATCGCAACCATTTTCTATTTTCATTTCTGTTTTTTTTTTTCCTCTCAGTTGTCTTTGTGTCGTGCCGACAATTTTATTCACTCTGAGACTAAAACAATCGCATTCAAGTTCTTCACGATAAATTCTTTCTTTCTTTCTTTCTTTCTTTCTTTCTTTCTTTCCTTTTTCTTTCTTTCTTTCTTGTTTTTTCTACCTTTTATTTTTCGTTTTTCTTTTTTCGTTATTCTTTCTTTCTTTCTTTTTTTCTCGTTTTTGTTATTCTTTCTTTCTTTGTTATAGTTTTTCCTTTCAATCTCATAGTTTCTCTTTCTTTCTTTCTTTCTTTCTTTCTTTCTTTCTTTCTTTCTTTCTTTCTTTTCTTTCTTGTTTTTCCTACCTTTTATTTTTCTTTCTTTTTTCTTTTTCCGTTATTGTTTTTCCTACCTTTTATTTTTCTTTCTTTTTTCTTTTTCCGTTATTGTTTCTTTCTTTCTCTTTTTTGTTATTCTTTCTTTCTTCCTTTCTTTCTTTCTTTCTTTTTTTCTCGTAATTTTTGATCTTGTATTGTTTATTCTTGTTCTGAGTAATTTGTTACGTATTTTCATTCATTATTTTGTTTCACATTATCCATTCTTTCTCGTATCTTTTGTTTTCTTTTATTTACCCTTTCTTTCTTTCTTTCTTTCTTTCTTTCTTTCTTTCTTTCTTTCTTTCATCTCGTTTTTATCCTCCAAATTGGTTTTTCCTTTCTTTTTGTCAGTTTCGTCATTTTTACTTTTTCTTTCGCTATTTCTTTCTTTTCTTTCTTTCAATCTCATGTTTTATACATCATCGTTTTTCTTTTTAGACCATTTTCTTCTTCAAAATTATTTTCTTTCTTTCTTTCTTTTATTTTTCTCCGATTATTCTCTCTTCTATGTCTGGTAATTTGCAATTTCTCTCCTCCGCCCATGCTACGGCATGTTGCCGCCAAAACTCCTTTTCAATCATGTCCCTGGCATTCCAATTTTTTCAGAGACAAATCGTTTTGATGAACCAAAAAGTCCTGGTCGGTCGACCAGTTAGCAAGGGATAGTGGGGGTTGTTAAAATCACTTTTACAACTTCAAGAATATTGACTTCAAATCCCGGTTACTGAGTGTGAAAGAAAAAAAAAACTGCATTATTAAGAAGAGAAGACAATAAAAGGACAGGAATTTACAAGAGAAAAGATTACGACTGACATTGCATTTAAATAACTGAAGATCAAAGTTGACTCGAAAGCAAGAAGCCGGAAGAGAGTTCCACACACGAGATGTGCGAGAGAAGAAAGTATTAGCATAGAACTTGCGGTTGCATCTAGCTATTTCAAGTTAAAAATAGATGCGAATCTAATAATGCGCTTAATTAGTAAAGTCGAGGTGCTAAAGAAGAAATCACATCGGAATAATTGCGACGAAAATATTTATAGAAAAAACACAGGGGAACCCACGGTGGGTCAGTGTAATGAAACCGAGATGCCAGGTCAGGATCAGTAACATTGCAGATTCTTCTTTCAAGAATGTCTAAATACGTAGCAGAAGCAGCAGCCCAGATGTGACAGCGATATTCGAAGTATGAACAAATGAAAGATTTAAAAACGTGTAAGGTAGACTCCGATGAGACAAGCATTTTAGAAATATAGACAGAATTTATCCGTTCATTGAATACTGCTGCCATATCTGGTCTGGTGTTCTTGGTGTATGTCTTGAGATTCTTAACAAAATCCAAAGCAGCGTTTGTAATGTCATCAATCCTGAACAGGCATCTCGACTTCATTTTCTCACCAACGTGACGCGGCTTCCCTCTGTCTTTTTTACAAATAGTTTCATGGCATTTCCTGTGATGAGATTTTCTCCCTGATGCTCCGGCTATATGAATTTAACCAGGCTACTAGATTGGCATTTAGGTCCCACCCATTTACTGTTAAAATAGCTAAATGCAACCGCCTCTTCTACCCCAACCGTTTCCTTTCTCGCACTTCCCACTTGTGGAGCCCCCTTTCGATTTCTTGCTTCTCTGATAACTGCAAATCTGTAAAAATTTAAATGCCACATTAATCGCTGTCTTCCATCTTCTTGAATCCCGTTCATCTTTTCCACAATCCTCCCTATACTCAGTCTTTTCTTTCACTTTCACTCCATGTAACCCCCACCCCCTGATCGCTTAATAGTGACATTCCCGCCTGGGTTGAGATGAAAGGATTTTTAAAAAAGACAATTGTTTAAAAGTTAAACAATAATAATAAAATAATCTATGTGTTTCTATGTGGAGTGTGTCTGTCTCTTTGAGTGTTTCTGCGTATGTGTGTGCGTCTGTGGGAGTGTGATTGTATATATTTTTCTGTGTGTGAGTGTATCTGCATAAGTGTGTGTGTGAGAGTGTGTATCGCTGTAGGAATGTCTGTATGAATATGCCTGCGTGTGTTTTTGTGTGGGAATTTGTCTTGTGTGTGTGTGTCTACATGTGTGTGTGTCTGTTTTGTGTATGAGATAGGCTTTTTGTTAGTGTTTCTGTGTGTAAGCCTTTGTCTGCGTATGTTTATGTGTGCGTGTGTCTGCGTGAGCGTGTGAGTGTGTTTGTGTAAGAAATTAGCTCTGTCTGTGTCTGCGTGAGTGTGCGTGTGAGAGTTCGTCTCTGTATGAGATTGGCTCTTTGTGTGTCTGTGTGAGCCTGTGTGTCTGTGTGTGTTTGTGTGCGTGTGTCCAAACAACTAGTTCTTGTGCTGTCATTTTCCCGGATATTTTTTCCTATTTTCCGCTGGAGATAAAACAAAGATTAATTCCTGCTCTAAAATTCTGACCCGCTGATAAACAACTCAACTTTGGCGTGTGAACTTCGACAAAAAAACAAAATTAGTAAAAAATTTTTTAAATAAAACAATAAAAAATTGAACGGAAAATCGTCTAATTTAAAACGGGAGATAAGTAAACAACATTTTTTTCACGCTTAAGTCAGCGAATTTATCTTTTCTTTTCTTTATTGTAAATTTATGTATATATATATATTTTAATTATTTCATAAAACCGCGTGAACTGTTGCTCGACTTTTAAAACTGATGTCGTGGGGTGACAATGAAGACTAGAGAAAAACTAACAGTCGAACAATTTTTGAAGTTAACATCTTCCCAAAACTTTGGCATCCGGGTAGAAAACGAATTGGCTAGGTACACAAAAATCTAAATGCAATTAAGCCAAGGATTTGTCCAACCTCTATAGCGAGGATATTCTTAAGGAAATGGAGACGTTACCAGTATTTATCGCCCGTAGGCGTAACAATATATGATATACAGATGATACTGTATGATGGCAGACCCAGAAAAGAAAACCACATGACCTCCTTGGTAGGGTAGTGAAGGAATGCAAGAAAGGTCTATCAATTGTATGAAAACAGTATGGCTGCCAACAAAAAAAAATATGGACGACGAATTGGTGATGTCTACCTCAACCAGGTACAGAAATTGAAAAATCTGAAAAATATCTCAACAAAAGGATGGAAAATTCTTTTCTTTCTTTTTATGTGCCATGTTCTTTCAGGACGTAGGCGATCATGGCTCTCCACTCTTTCTAACCCCTGCAGGTCTTAGCAAGTTCCTTCTGCTTCATCTCCATGCCACGTTCTGTCATAAACTTGCTTAAGCCCGCTTTGCCTTGTCTCTCTTTCCCTCTATTCGAGCCGTGAGTATCAGATTCTCCAGGCCTTCCTTCCTCATTCTGCGTCCGAGAAACATCAGTCGGTAGGCATAACAATATATGATACATAGATAACACCGTATGATGTCGGACACAGAAACAAAACCACATGCTCTGTTATAATAAATACATTGAGCTCTTTTTGTGGTGAATCAGTTTTAATATTTTATATTATGAGGATTTACTTGGATTATATAGCAACGGATTATTACCTGCACACACATACACACACACACAACGCACACATATATATATTCTATCATAAACAAACAATTTATAGAAAAAATTAAGTAGTAATGTTAATGTGATTAATAGCAAAATCACTTCGCTAACAGGACTTAATGAGACATTAACTGACTATCAATTCCTTGAATAATAAGGTCATTATGTTCGAGTTGTTGTCAGATGGAAGACACATGCCAAGTACAAATTAATGTTGGGGATTTGTAACTATTCAAAATTCAAACAAAATTCTCACTTTGAACAAGAAATCTAGCGTCACGGAAAATTGCACCCTGAAGATGATAATTTGAAATTGTCGAAAGTACTTGTCAAGTGTCTTCCATCTGACAACAACTCGAATATAAGGATCTTCTTATTTGTTATCGCAGTTATATATTATACTAGGATTACAATTTTTTAATTTAAAAAAAAAATTTATATTTTGTCATATATATATATATATATATATATATATATATATATATATATATATATATATATGTGTGTGTGTGTGTGTGTGTTTGTTTGTATGTATGTATTTATATATATATATATATATATATATATATATATATATATATATATATATATGTGTATGTAAAAAATATATTTTAGATCTAAAATGTCTAATGGATGTCAGTTATCAGTTATCTCCTGTTAATTCCCCTCTCCAGGTTTTCCACCGCCTTAACCAGGTATTGAACTCACACTCCACTGCGCCATGAATCCTTGAGGACACATGGCACAGTGGATAAAGGCGTTAGTTAGATCCAGTGACAGGACCCAAAGAGTGTGAGTTCAATACCCGGTTAAGGCAGTGGAGAACTTTGAGACGGGAATTAATAGGAGATAACTGACATCCATTAAACATGGCACGTGGAACTAGAACAGTCTACCCCAATGAGCGAAATAAAGGGTTCAGTTCGACATTCCATCCACCTGAAGAAGGCCGGAGTGTACAACGGCTGAAACGTTGTAATAAATATGGCGACAAAGATGAGGATAATAGTCCGAATAATGTAAATAGTGTACAAATGGTTGACGTTTATGCTTACTGGTTAAGGCATTTTACTCTAGGTTATATTCTGCTTAGAAGTAACTGTAGATTTCCTATTTTTGTAATTTGCAGGTGGTTTCTTTGCTTAGTAAGAATCTGTGTAACTGCGTTGAAACCACATTCAACCATATAGGAATTTGGAAAAGCAATGAAGAAAGGTTTGATAGATTCTCATAGCTTTAGATACCTTTTAGAAATTTCCTTTTGTAGCCAATATTGAATAATGTTTGAAAGGTTGTGATAAACATGGCGACAAAGATGAGGACAATAGTCCGAATAATTTAAATAGTTCACCGGTAAATTGTAGATCTGTTTATTCTAATATCCAAGGAAAAAAACAAAGACAAACAAATCCGAGTCCATTGTTTCTAGCGCCGAATCATGCATAGTAAGTCCATATTTAGGGGTTCTGTATTTTTCCACAAGTTTCGATCTGTCACCGGCTAAATCTGCCCATGAGATTGAACTATTGACAGCATTTCCGGAACATCACTGGGAGGAAGGGCTTTGTACAGTGGAATCAACGACCACATGTCCGTAAACAAGGCGAGACTTCAAGTCGGCGGGCGTCGGCTGAGGTTTGACCTGGAGAGGGGAGTGTTCTCTCGGGTCTACCTTACCAACGATGAATGCATATCTACTGGGATATATTTGGGAAAACTGCGCAGCGACCCTACGACCATACCTCGTCATGATACTGATGAAGATAAATTACTCGTGTCCCCATCGTGACTGGATGTGATGCGAACTCGATTTCACGCGGAGAGTCCAAGCATAATAGCCAAGGACAAAACCTGCATCGTCACAACAACCACTGGCGTCGGTACCCACAGCCATCCCTCATCAGTGCAATGTGGGAGGTGCTGTCATAGTTTGGAATCTCCGGAGCCAGTCTTTCTCACACTTCAGAGACGAGAACCTATATTACACTTTCATCTGAGTAGTTACATGCCACCCGCCTTTGCGGGGCTCATATATATGGATCAAGGAGAGATATTGCCCAGTTCCAGCGACCGCTGTCATGCTGGGGTTGATATTACGCCATCATCATCTTTCTTTCTGCAGTTTGGAAGTTGCTTCCGAAGGGTTGGAAATCCTGGGGCGGGGAACATTCTCTCATCTCGGATAAGGAGCGAACAGCGAACTATATTTTATCTTAAAGGGCCGGTAAATCTGTTTTCCACTTCCCATCCGCGGAAGTATGTAACACAAGGTCGTTTTTATTGTAGGCTAATGCGTATACGTACATATGGCTCAAGATAATACCCATACCACACTATCACTGTCACGTTGATATCGGTATCCCCCAACTCTCCCTCCAACTATGTGGGAGGTGCTACTGTAGGACTAGAATCTCCGGGACCAAGGATCCCTCAAAGATTACCAAGATTTAATCTTAAACCGAAGGAAAGGTAAAGGAGGTCTGAAGGTATTTACCTACCTTCCTAAGATGAGATACAATCCTGGTGGTGGTAGCTATCAATTATCGAACAAAGCAATCAGTCATCGATCAAAGTAGGTATTGGTAGCCATCACTCATTGATAAAAGCAGGTGTTTGTATCCATCAATCATCGATTAAAGCAGGCGTTGGTATCAATCACTCTTCGACCAAAGCTGGTGTTGATAGCAATCACTCATCGATAAATGCAGGTGTTGGTAGCCACCAATCATCAATTAAAGCAGATGTTGGTAGCCATCACTCATTGATCAATGCAGGTATTGGTAGACATCACTCATCGATCAAAGCTGGTGTTGGTAGCAATCATTCATCGATCAATGCAGGTATTGGTAGACATCACTCATCGATCAATGCAGGTGTTAGTAGCCATCACTCATCGATCAATGCAAGTGTTGGTAGCTATAACTCACCGATCATAGCAGCTGTTTGTAGCCATCACTCATCGATCAATGCAGGTGTTGGTAGCCATCAATCATCCATCAATACTGGTGTTGGCTACCCTCAGAACTTTAAGAGTAACAGGGAATAGACACTATTTTTCCTTCGCTATTTACACGTCTTCTTAAGCGTGGTGTGAGGTGACACTAGGTTGGTTTTAATATGAGTGTGTCTATAAGCGTACCCATAGGCAAAGGACAAAATATTATTCTATCCCCGCAACCACTGTAATGTCGACGTCGGTATTCGACTCATCTCCCCTCTTTTGTACAATGAGGGAAACTGGAATCCCTGAAACTTTAAAATGAAGAGAAAACATCCTTCGATATAAGCCCTACGTCGATCCTTGCCCACCCACCTGTGTAGGATGTATCATGAGGTCGTTGTTAATGTCGGGGTGTCCATAAGTGTACATATGGACAGAAGATCAAGATTCTTCCGTCCCCGCAATCATTTTCATTCTGCCACTCGTATTACAACAACCCTCCCTCTCTAATACCGTACGGGAAGTGCTGCCACAAGGATAGAATCCTCGCGATTAGGCTTCTCCAATTTTTTACTACACTTTTATCTAAACTCAAGCATTGTGTAAAGTTGGAACGTCCCTTGCATATTTGATACTTGGTTGTATATAAAAACTTGATATCGTCATCATCATTATTATGATTTGTGCATATTATGTTCCTTGCTTTGTATCCTGTAGAGCCGGGTCCAAACTATGGCTTTTAGGCCCTATAGGAGAATTGTCATTTAATTGATAGCACTTTTCCTAGTATATGGGATGTTCCTAGTAGGGCGATCTTCTGGACAACTTGTATGTTGATTTTTCCCTGGGACACTGTAAAATTGTCCATTTCTTTTCTCACAAGGCCCAGAGTTCCGATTCCTATTGATACAGTCTCAGGCTTCATTTCCCACATCATATTAAACTCGATCTCCAGGTCCTTGTATTTGGATAATTTTTCGATAATTTTCATGGAGGTGTTTCTCTCAGATGGTACTTCTATATCAATTTCCCGATTTTTTGGTCTTTTATGATAATATCAGCTCTGTTGGCTTTTATTTCCCTGTCAGTTTGAATTGGCATGTCCCAGAGGATAGTTACATCGTTATTTTGGATAAATGTATCTGGTTGGTGCTCATACCGTCTCTCAGTGGTTTCGATTTTGTGCTTCTTGCATACCTTCCAGTGTACATATTTCGCTATCTTATGCCTGTGGGTATATTTATTATTATTATTATTCCTCTTCTTCCTCCTCCTTCTCCTCTTCTTCTTCTTCCTCATCCTCCTCTTTTTCTTCCTCCTCCTCTTCTTCCTTCTCTTCTTCCTCTTCTTCCTCTTCTTTGTGCCATGTCCCTTCAGTACTTGGGTGATCATGGCTCTCTATAACCTCCTATCCTTTGTAGCTCTTAGCAACGATTGTCCCTTTGCTAAGCTTTCCTACTTTTACACTAGATCATCAGGTTGGTAGTCTTTTGCTTTTCCTTTTGTCCTTTTGCCTTCAAATTTTCCAAGCCTTCTTTCCTCATGCGTTCTAGAAATGTCAACTATCTTTATCTGATTGTAAATATATAAGTGTCTTTTTTATTCCATTTTTCTTAAACCTTCCTCGTTGCATCTATCCACTATCCATAGTATTCTCAGTATCCTTCTGTAGAACCAACTCTCTTAAGTCCTTTCTCTACCTGTGATAATGTACTTTAGCATTCACCGAGGACTGATTTTATGTTAGCAGTTCAGCACTCTTTGCCTTGTATCTAATATAATTTTTTTTATATTAGGTTGGTGCAAAAATAATGACGTAATAATGTCGTTTTTTGACGTTAAAAAATACGTCGAAAACGACATTATTACGTCATTATTTTTGCACCAACCTAATACTTTGTTTAACATTTCGAAGTTGTTTTTTTAAATATAGATTGTTCGTTATTTCTTAAAATACTTCCCAAATATTTGAATCTCTGAGCTTGCTTGATTTTGACATCTCTAGTTCGTAATTCTCGTAGTGGACTTTTTCTCTCGCTGACAATCATGTTTTCCGCCTTCTTATAATTTGTAGTTAGTCCTTTTCTCTTTCCATCGTCAGATTCCATCTTGCGTATTTATAAACCTCCCATTCGTCCGTATATTGAATACTACTGCTATATCTAATGCCCCTGCAGTACATCTCGAGATTCTTGACAACATGCAAAGAGTCTTGATCCTGAGCTGGCATCACGACTTCAGTCACTTTTTCACCGACATGACGTGGCTGCCCTCTGTCTTTTCTACAAACATTTTCATGACAACTGCTCTGATGAGCTTTTTTCTCTTGATGCCGCGAAAATATGAATCTGAGCGTGTTACTAGATTGGCAACTAGGTCTCACCATTTTACTGTTGAACTATCTAGATGCAACCGCCACTTCCACTCCAACAGTTTCTTTTCTCGAACTTCCGACCTGTGCAACTCCCTTCCGATTTCTTGCTTCCCTGATAACTACAATCTTCAAAAAATTTAAATGGGACGTCAATTGGCATTATTTTGACTTCTTACCCTTTCTCCAATCCTATCCATTCTCAATCTTATCATTATCTTTCACTTTCACTCCCTATAGAACCCCTCCCCCTGCATTCTAACAGTCTTTCTCAAAAGAATCTTGGTAATTTATACAAACCGTATAACGCTTCTCCGTAACGATCTTAAAAACTGATCTTTCAATCTAAAAATTTGGTAGTTAATCAATCCTCATCGGGAGCCTCGCACACGTATCATCTACTCCAACAGTAAACTAAGCTTCACGATCACAAGTCCCGTAACCACTGAGAGTCGTAGGGGCATTGCTCTAGCAGCAGTGTTTTGTCCTCTCCAGGTTGGTTTGAATTCAAAGTTTTTCTTCTTCTAGACTGGTTGACAACGCAGGCTATTGGATACAGTCTGTTTATCTATTTATCCATAGCTGGTGGGGCTGGGATGGATTTAAACCTTTCTCTAAGTGAATTTGCGAGCAAGCGAATGTAACAAACTCGATTGGAATTCGAACTCGGCTTTCCGATTCTTCATCTCGACCTTGCTGTACAACGTGCATCCAAATCTAAGCTTGGCAAATATTAAAAAAATAAATGTCATAAGGTGAGTTTTAACCGACTTACATTCCGGTATAGTGAGTATTCCCCTCACTCTGTAACTGTTGCTAATATTGCAAACTTTTGGTGCTGCATGGAATTATATCCTGAGTGCTCTACCTTGTTGCCCTTGTATCAGACTAAGTAAATTTTAATAAATGTCAATAACGATGACGAAAACAATGAAGATAAAAATAATAAGACGTAAAAGAAGAAAACGAACACAAAATAGAGAATTGAAGAAAATGTCGGTGTCTTACAAGAAAAAAAAATGAAAGAAGCAGACGATAAAGAGACGAATACAAAAAAAAATAATAGGAAAGGAAATACTAAGTAGAAAACATTTTTTTTTTATCTCTCACGAAGCCTGCGTATTTTGTCGGTAGAGCCATTAATTATTGATTGAAAAAGATAAGTTCTTGCAGATAACAATGCAGTCAGGGCTTGGTTCCTCTAAAACGAAAATTCTTTCGCAAAATACTCGTTTTCACCTCCATTATCAGCTGCAAAAAAAAAAAAAAAAAGAAAAAAGAAAAAATCATCCCGCGCTGACTACAACGAAATGGAATCTTCTCATTGGAAAAATTTTGTATTATCAGCGTTGAGTATTTAGAGGTTGTTCCTCAATGTTTGGGGTACATCTAAGGTTGTGCTTTGTGTCAAGTGCATATGAAGGATCATGTTTAAACATTACAAATCAGTTCGGTTAATAACTTTTTTTTTTTTATTTTGTTTTAATTTGATAAATTATTTATGCATTTATTTATTTCAAATAATACAATATTTTGATTTAACGGTCTTCTTTAAAAAAAAAACAAAAACTTTTTAAGGTCAGATATGCTGGTTTGGATAGAAATTTTTCTTTTAGGAGATTTTGGAAAGATCCAGTGTATAGATTTACATTTTGGCAAAATTCGATAGCAACCCGCTCAAGAACTTTCTGTCTAAGTAAATAATTTTCTCTTTTTGTAAGTTAAATGATATTCGATAAAAATTTCAAATTTTAATTACTGTGTAGTTGATTCCTGTAGATAAGTTTAATAGAATTTCTTTTTTTTTTACATTATTTACATATAACATTCGCTATGTTAATTTTAAAATATAAAAAATGCATTTTTATCAAATTACAAATGTCAAAAATTTGTTGCCACCAAACCTTAATTCGGCAAAAAAAAAAAAAAAAAAAAAAAAAAAAAAAAAGATCTGTGAAAAGGACGGTTTTTCCCTTGACGCCACTATTATTTTAACTACCTTCACTCCTCAGCAATGTTTATTCTCTTAAAAAGCTATGATTAGAATTTTAATAAAACCTACAAATATGAAAGCGAATTTATATGCATTTTCTTTTTTTCTTGAGAATTTACAATAAAATAACTCTATTTACAAGAATATTTTTATGTTTACAACGTTCTAAAAATGAATGCAATTAAAACTAATGCAATATTTATCATTTACCAATTTATAAAGAAATAAAAAATATAGACATTTTTTGAATTTTTGAAGAAAAAATTATTAACAGCAATACATTTTTTCAGAAAAATATTACAAGAAATTCATTTTCGAAAAAAATATTAACAGCAATACATTTTTTCAGAAAAATATTACCAGGAATACATTTTTGAAAAAAATTATTACCAAAAATACATTATTGAAAAAAATTATTACCAGCAATACATTTGTGAAAATAAAAAATTACCAGGAATATATTTTTGAAAAAAATTATTACCAGAAATACATATTTTGAACAAAAATATTACCAGCAATATATTTTTGAAAAAAAATATTAACTTGCAATACATTTTTGAAAAAAATTATTACCAGCAATACATTTTTGAAAAAAAAATTACCAGAAATACATTTTTTGAATAAAAATATTACCAGCAATAAAAATCTTGCCATTAAATAACCCATTGAGTTGTTGATATGCCGTAAAACAATACAAACCAAGAATAATATTAAATTTACAACATTCTAACAACTTATACA